TTCAGGATAGATATAACAGATTCCCTCGAAGTGTCCATTGTTTAGAACAAAATCACTCAGAAGTGAGAGACCGATTTGGAAATTTCTTCATGACCAGTGGAGAGTTTTGGTACAGGTTTTGTTGCAAGACATATTCAGGTCTTTTATGCTGCTCCTTCCTGGCCTTATTTTTTGCTTAAATCACATTCTGCTTACATAAATCTTAATGGCCACACTTCCTCTGCTTTTTATTCTAAAACCTGCTTAATGTGATTAAAATTGAAACACTTGGGTCTGGGGATGAGTTCAGTTTTTTGTACTAATTGCTTTGTGCAGCTGTTTCAGAACTGGTAGGAAACCAGGACATGCATGAGCTTAGTGACAGTGCCCAGAGTGACTTGAAGGCTAAAAAAACATAATAGAAAAAAAAAAATTATTAATAAAAAAAAAAAAACTCAGTAAAAAAAAAAAGTCGTTCCAAAAAAAAAAANAAAACAAAAAAAAAAAAAAAAAACAAACAAACAAAAAAAAACATCCAACCTTGACAAAACCAAAAAGCAAACACACCTGTTCCCCTAAAACACCTCAAAGGGACAAATCCCATGCCAAAGCCTTCTCTTTCTCCTGTGTGAAGATTTGGTACGGAAACTGCTTTATGAATTTCCGGCGGATTGTTGTATTTTGCTGACATCTATATTTAGTTTCTGATCCACATCAATACTTGCTGGGCTAGCATTAAAACCCCTGATATGTATTCAGTACCATGTGCCATCTCTAACCACACAAGCTCGAAAGGTTTCTCCCCTTACACAACCACTTTGAGATTGCTATTTTGATCCCATTTCTCGCAGCGGAGTTGAATGAGAAATAAAGATCAGGGTGCTGGAGAGCTGCTTTGTGGAAGATTGCGTTTTGCTGCTAATTGGTGCGCGACAGGCACCTCGTGTGGCAGCTGGCTGGCAGCGCTGCCTCGGGAGGCGGCTCCGCAGCGGCAGCGGGACCTGCCTGCGGAATTCCAGCGGCACTGCAGGGGAGGAGCTCCTGGAGGCACCCGCTGGAGCAAGACGCCTCACAAACAAAAGTTCAAGGTGAGAACCCTACTAGGTGCTGGCTGATTTAAGAAATTGTTTGGCTTTTATTTTTTCCTCTCCAGTGCAGGAAGCAATACTGGGTGAAATAATGTAACCTGGGGCTTGTAATTGCACGGGGTCACAGTCTGATAGTTACGACCACTCTCAACGTTTCTCCCTGGGCTAAAGGGAAGACAAGGAAAAGGAAGAAAGAAGGCTATAATATTTCCTATTTTAAAAAATGGCAATAACAATGAATTTTAATGCTGGTCACAATTGATATTTCGAGGAAAGGAAATCTAGGATGCAAACAGTGATTGGTGATGACCCCTCTCAGCAGCAGGGAAGCTCAGCTCTGCCTGTGATGCTCAGGTGCGTTTCCTGATGGCTGTGTGCTGCTCTTAGCCTGCTGCTGCATGGCACAGGGCGTCCCTGGATGCATGGGGCTCAGGAAGGGCAGCTGTGGAGGGGCTGAGCTGGCTTTCCTGAACTTATGGAGATCGTGGGGACAAGGGGAGATGCAGTTTCTGGAGGAGTCCGTAGTGGTACAGTGGGGAAAGGGGAGTGCCATCTTCTCCTGCTGAGTACAGGGACAAATACTTCACAACAGGTTCACAGAGCAGTTTTCTGAACAGCAGGGAGCAGGATGAGAAATCAAACAGCTTTTCCTAATTCTTTGAAATTTGTTACTGTCTTCTGTTTTTCTCTTGTGAAGGTGTTTTTTTGTGAAACCATTGCCATACTCCTCCTGTGGTGCCTGTAGAAAATGGAAGAATGATTAGGCCCCAGAGAAATGGCACCTATGCTGAGCCATATGACATTTTTGCTCTCTTGATCCACCTGGTTGACTATTGCTACAAGCTTTCTGGAGGAAAATCCGTGTTCTGTTTTCGTGCTGAGGACAAGGATGCCTTAGTCCATGGATACATTTCCTGCAGTAATTTATGTAATAACCATTAACTGCAGTGATGCTTGTACCTCAGCTCAGCAGGGATGGATCTCTGGGCCTTTGTGGACATGGTAGTTATAGAAAAGATGCAATTTTTCTTTAAGGAAAAAAGGAAGGTCTTAGATGTATAAACTCCTTCAGCCAAGAACTGCTTGCCCTGATCTGGATAGGCTCATTGATTTTGATGGATCCATGCTAACTTGTGCCTTCTAAGGGTTTGCCCATCAATTTTGATCAGCTTTACAGCTTGGGATGGAGTAAGAATATTTTAGAGGTAGCAGGAATATATGTATATAGACTCAATTTCTTCTTTTTTTCCTCTTTTTCTTTTATTTTTTTTTTTTTTTTTTTTTTTTTTTTTTTTTTTTTTTTTTTTTTTTTTTTTTTTTTAATAGCTGTGACTGTGTTTCAGATGCCCAGCATATTCATGCAGAGGAAGGCAGTGTACTCTGTTTTAGTGCTGACACTCTGACTGTAGATCAGTGTAGTGATACCACTTTCCTGGGCCTTCTTCAAGGCCAATTCAGTGCCTTGGTGAAATTCTCTTTTGAGTGCTGCTGCTCTGTTTCCTGAAGGCCTTAAAATATGGTTAGAAGTACAGTACACAATTCTTTACATGTTTGTCCTCATTTCTTGAGTGTTCCTTCTGTGCATACCTAAAGGACACCAAAGAATGGCTGTCTTTGTGCCTGAATAAATATGATTAAGTCTTATGTGCCTGATGACTTAGTGAGAATGCTTTTAATCATGGCAGTGGCCTATTTGGACCAATATATGAGTATTTATTTAAAAAAATTAGCACACCAGAAATTCAGATTAAAGAAATTATTAAATATGTGGTATTACTTGTAAGGACTTATGGCAATGCAAGACTATTTGCAAATCTTTCTGAAATCTACTGATATAATCTACTAAAACTATTGCTTTGGAATAAAACAATAGGAATGGGGTAAAAGGGGGCATTGTAAAAGATGTGAAAATTTGTGAAAGAAACCAAAACCACAAAATGTACTTAAAGCCAAGTTGTATATCTTTCTGTTACCTATTTATTGCAATTTTGCAAATAATGTCAGAAAAATTAATTCTTTGAGGCAGAACTATTTCAAGGAATTGTTTATTTCATGAGTGGTAGGAAAATGAAACCTGGCTCCTGCAGGGAGGGGAGCCTGCCTGTGCTGCCAGGGCAGCTCTTGGGCAGAGCCTGTGCAGGGCAGCAGCAGCAGCAGCTCCAAGAGCAGCACAGGCTCTGCCCGAGTCCTCCTCTGGGTCAGCAAATGAATCACTTGGACTTCTCAAAAAACCTTTTAAAATGTTTGAAATGTCTTCTTTCAGTATATTTTTTTAGTGTGTTCTGTCTGTTTGAGGCACTTTTCTTAATGTATTATGATTGTTTTATGCATTGACAGAATTACTGGGACTTTTTTTGCCCTGTAATTCTCTGGGAGGTAAATTAAATCTTTATTAATTTTTATAGATACATGAGTGCCATCTCATTTGAATTCTCATCTATAATTTTAAAATATAGGTTCACTATATTTATCCAGAGAGTTCCCTGTACTTTTTCTTTTTTTAGGCTTTGTGTCTGCTCTCTTGATTAGAGCCTCTGCTCCAAAGAAGCCCATCCTTGACAGGGAGAAACGAAGAAAAACTTTTGGTCATTCTTAATTTTTATTTCCAGTTATGTCAAACTTCCTCCTAATCCAGAAGGACTTGTTCAGTACCCATTTTTCAGTCATCAAAATCTTTGTCTCTGTCACTTCTCTGGTTGTTCCCAGGTTGAGCACAGCAGGGTCTGGCTCCTGGGCTGGCCTGTGCTTGCCACTGCACCCAGGGAGTTCTCAAGCAGGTAGTGATAAACTCCTGGGTAATTTCATGTAGCCAAATCCACAAGTAGATCTGAGACTCTTGCATTTGCTACTATAGTCTATAAAAATCAGCTTCTTTATAATTTGGGGTTTTCTGTATTCTTCCTTCAGAGAATCCTCATCTGCATCTTCCTGTGCTGTAAACTCTGGAATTTAATCTGCTCAACCATACTTAAAGACAGATTCAAACCAGTGCAACTTGCAGTAGCAAAGAGGACAGAAAATGATCCCCAGCACCTCCCTCTGCTCTGCTGGACTCTGTGCATAGGCTCTGCCATTCTTGCAGCCATGCATCACAGCTGCCTGCAGATCACATCTGCCTGATGATTCCCACAGCAACTTGGGCACTCAAGACAGGAATATGAGCTGGTAAGTGAAGGTTACTCTCCTTTCTTCTCATCTTTTCATCCCAGTGTAGTGGGGGTGATTATATATGTCACAGTTTTGGACAGTGCTTGTCTGGGGCAAAGCACTGCCAGACTGTTTTAGTTCTCCAAACCCAGTTCAAACACCTCACTGGGATCAGCAGAACCCTGCGTGGTGTGAGTGGTAGGGGGCATGGTGGTGTGGGAATGAATGTACAGGATGATTTTATGGGACTGGGTGTAGGCATGACATCCCTTGGAGGACATCATCTGGCTAATGTTACAGGGATGGAATACAGTGAGAAACCCAAGACAGCTTTTTCTGCTTTGTGTGTGGAAAATGTTGACTGGGGTCAGCTGTAGGGAAAGCATAGAACGGGTTGGAAGGGACCTTTAAATCTAGTTCCAAACCCCCTGATGTAGACAGGCACAACTTTCCCTAGATCCTAAAACCAGGCTCAGAGCTCCATCCAGCCGGGTTTTAAACACTTTTAGGGATGAGCTGTCCACAACTTCATTAGCTCCTCTGGATAGCCTGAAGAAGTGGAAACACAAAACCAAATCCAGAATCTTTGTATTCTCCGAATAAACACAGACGCAATAAAGCAGGGTTTGAGGTCCAACATGTTCGTTTAGGCGGTGGGTTCGCTGCCGCTTTGTCTCTGCGCTGGCTGAACTCTTTTCCCTCTTTCCCCCGGCGGATCGGCGCCGGGTCCGCAGCGCTCCGCGGGCGGCGCAGCGCTCCCGCGGGGCGGACAGCGCCGCTCCTCCGCGCTCTGCCGGCCGACAGCGAGGACACAGACACCTTCTGAAGTTTGGTGCATGCTGTGCGCCTTTTTTTATTTGCTGCAACAAGAAAAGCCTTTTCTTTTAACCCGGCTTCCTTTGAAGAAGTAACTCAGGAAGCTTCATGGCTTCTCAAGGTAAGTGCATCTGTAGACGGTATTTTTAGATCGTGTTTAGAGAAAACTACAGTCTTATGTGTTTCCAGCAATCAGCAGCCTGATGAAATGAGTGTTTCAGGATAAAACCACATCAGTCAAAGCACAGTTGTTTTGTCTACCTTTAATTTTTCAGCATCCAGCATCCAAGAGTCTCCTAAGGAGACTAAAATCTATAGTAGGATGTTATTTGAATAAAATACATTATAAAATGTTTGCCTCTGCATTCAGTCAGAAAATTTAATGTTGGTATCTTGGTGTTTAAACCTGTCGGTACAGAATGCCTGGCAAGGGTGTGTACTGAGCCAAAGGTGCCACTATTTTTGCACAGTTCTTCCCTATTTCACTTTGAAAATACTACATCAGCAAATGCTTTTCACATTCAAAAATGACCAGAGATCTGATAACTCCATATGAAGAATAATAATAACTGAATTTAATCAGATTACTCCTCTCGGGGTGTGTCTGTCATGCACTGACTACAGCAGTAGCCATTGAGTACACAGGGCAGAGGGCAAACATCCAGCATTTGATCTAAGCAGCCTTTGCCATTCATTTTCTCCAGGTTTTCAAATGTTTAAGCAGAAGGATACAAATCTCTTTTTCTCCTGAGTGCAACTCCATGGAGGTCACTCTGTTGGCATGTGCAGAGGCATGTGTTGGCCCAGGGAGTTTTAGCAATGTCTGTCTAGGTTTGCCAAAGTTTTTATCCCTCTTTCTTGCCCTCAAAACACTCAAGACATTCTGCATTAGAGCACAGGAGCAAGCAGGTTTTACAGCATTATTGTACTCTTGCAATATAGGAGTTTTTGTTTCAAATTTTGTTTAGCTTTAGCCATATAAGAGAAATGTAGTTTTGCATACTTTTTATGTTTATCAGTTAGTACAAATGGTTGAATAGTAATGGTGTGGAATATAGTTTTAGTATGAAGAAACTTGACAATTCACCTCTTTCAGGAACATGCAACTCTACAAATTATGTTTGTACAGAATACTGACTGTATCATATGGTAACTTTTAAGGTTCTCCATGCTAGTAATGAAATGGGAATCTTACACAAAAATAGACAGTGTCAGACTAGCTGAAATTGTCATTAATATTTAATGTATTTACTGTTTGTTTTTTGTATAGCTTAAAATTTGACAGGCAGAACTGCAATTTGTTGTCTTTTTTTCCTCTTTATTATTCAAGAATAACACTAACACTGGGCTACTTCATGGCATTTCATGTAACAACAAGAGTTACGGCAGTAACAGAACCCTGTGAGGTAAAATGATGCAGACGAGCACATAAAATATTTATTACCTAGTTATACATTTTTAAAAGCCAGCAACAAATTCAAAGGGGTTACTTCTTCCTGTGGTCTCAGACTTTGAAAGAAAGCAGTGGCTGCAAAGACAAATTAAGATCAAAATATGATTGAATGATGAATCTTTCACAGTGAGTTCAAATAATATGAAAGAATCTCATTTAAACCCACAACAGCAAAAAAGAGACTCAGAGCCAAAATTCCTTCTGGACCTCAAACCCCATTGTGTCTAAGTATATGGTCACACATGAGATAAAAATGATCAGTTTGGGGACTGCTTTCCTGCCAAATCACAGGGGCTCAGCTCAATACAAGGATTTGCCATTTAGATGAGGAGAGCTTCAGTTTGCTCTTCCTGGTTCCTGCAGAACCAGTATTGCTGAAGGCTGAGGAACAATGTACCTGGAAAAACTAGCAGGAATTTTTTGGCAGCCCAGTGATTAAGGTGGTCACTGTGCTGTGGGAGATGGTGCCTGTGCCTGTGGAGCAGTGTGGGTTTACAGGTAAATGCTCTCATTACCTTCACAGCACTGGCCAAAGTCACCATCACTGTGCCCTGAAGGACTTGTGGTAGCAAACCAGAAAACACAGTATAATGATATCTGATCCAGTCATTAAGATAATAATAAATAATACACTATAAGAGACTGTGTAGACTTTGATATCAGGGTTGTAATATCCAGCTTGGGGAATCTGAGATCCCTGGAAAGGTTATCCCTAATTAAGAGAAATTATGGGTGCCCTCAGGATGCTGGAAATCATCTTGCTGGGAGCCAGCCCTCAGCAGCTCAGGGCACACTGGCACACAGGGCAGCTCACAGGGAGCAGAGCTGGGCAACCTGTGCTGAGGGGCTTCTGGCCACCCTGTGTGTGAGTCCAGGCCAGCTCCAGCCTTGCCACACAGGCTCTGTGCTCACCAGCTGTCAGAGCAGATCAGTTGCCCTCCAAGACACATCTCCTGATTTAACTTCAGCTGCAGTGATTCCTCTTTGCAGTGATTCCCTTTTGCAAATCCTAAGGCAGCTTTACAATCAGTGCTCGATGTGTGGGACACCAGGAGGTTCCTTTTGGGTCCCCACTCCTGCCCTGAAGTACTGATACAGTCACATGCAGAATGATGTTATTGTGCCAGCTTTGATTCAAGAAGCTAGCAGCTCCTTGGTCCTGATGTTTCTGGGTTTTTTGTCTTTTTTTTTTTTCTTTTCTGCAGAATCTCAGGGACAAACCAAACTAATCTTTAAGGATTACCTCCCTGGCTCTTCTGACATTCCTCAACAGAATACTCCTGTTGAACCAACAAGTCTCTGGAAGCAAACATCATGCACTCATAATTTGCCACCTGGTCTGGAGTACCTGAACCAGGTCCTGAATCTTTTTGAATGTTAGAATTGTTATGTTTTCCTTTTATGTTGCTTTGATACCTTGGAGGATGAGGTTGTTTGGGTTTTTCCTCTTGGGGGAGGGGTTGGTTGAGATGGAGAGGCTTTTTTGTTGTTTGACACTACTATGAGATAAGGAACATAGGATAAAGAAGCTTTTTGTTCACTGCTGCCATTCATTTTATAGAAATTAGATGAGCATAAGTCTGAGTGGCTACAAACTTGCATTAACTCTGTGTGAGGAAGAAAGTGCTAATGCCTGAGAGAAGAAAATGCTTGAAAATGGAGGCAGAGAAATAGGTCATACATGGGGAAGAAAAATTAATGCTTAAGTCTTCTCCATCCTACTGCTAAACATGTGGCTGTGCCTTTTTCTCTGTGAAACTCTCAGCACCTGGAGCTCAGAGCACTGATGGTCTGCAGCTCTGCTCCAGAAGTTTCATCTTCTCCTGAATATTTTTACCAGGAGGGTCACGCCCTGCTGCTGCTTTGACACTGACTGAGGTTTGCATTTTACATGTGGCTGGATTTTGACACTCTTACATGCTGAGTAAGGTGTCACATGCCCTGCCTGGTGTGGGCAGGGACAGAATCGGGCCCTCAGCATAGTCAGATCATGATTCTGATACATCTCTGCTGTATTTGCATTTTGGTGATGCTGGGAAGTATTTACTGCACTCAGGATGTGTATTTAGGCACACATTTCTGCTAGTTTTGTATAGGAGCAGAAATTTAATGTATTTTATACTTTGAACTGAGTTACCTAGATAGCTGATGAAATTGGGAGACTCTTCAGAAGCAAGTCTTTCATTTTAAGATGCCTGAGCACAAGATGATATGTGTTGTCAATTACACAAGCATTTGCTTACAGACCGTGGAAGCTACATTTTTTAATCTAAAAGTGATTGTGATAGTCAGTACTTGGCAGGTTACATATTCAGGCTCCTGTACGAACACAAATTGCACCTCAGATTTACCCAGACAATGTAAGCAAGCAAATACTATCACTCCATTTTATAGAAGCTTTGCATCTGACGTTAAGACAAAAGAGCAGGTCACTCTCAGAGCTACAACTGGAACTGAAGAGCTCATTCCTGTTTATTCTTGGCCTGTTCTGCAGCCTTTGCTAACAATTCTCAGTTTTCTCTGCAGTCTGAAAAGTGGGAAGCAGGTGTGCAAGTGCTGATGGTTGGCACGTTCCCACAGCTCCAGTTTCTGTGTGGTGCAGAACGTTCTGGTGTGTGGTGCTGAAGCCATAGTGGCTGTGTGGCTAATGAAAGGGGCTCATTCAGGGTGGATGGGAGCATAAAGGGGGTCCCACCAGCAGGGAGAGCGCTGCCTGCAGAATGCATGTGGGATTCACAGCTGCTAGGGCAATCCCTTGGGATTTATCCTCATGGACTAAGAGATTTTCACATAATTAAACGCTTGAATGAAGATGTTTCTAGCAGAACTCAGACATTATTTATGCCACTGGGAAGATTTCTTAAAGACTGTGTTTCATTCTGGTGCTGTGTGCACTGGGGAAAGGTGGGTCCAAACTGAAACAAGCACAGAGAGGTGCTACTGGAAGTGCATGGAGAATAGAGAACCTCCTTTAAAACAAGACTCCATCTGTTTTATCTGTAGAATAAAAACAACACTATCGGAGAGGGAACCATACTGAGTGCCTAGGAGAGTAAACAAACTGTGGGAAAGAGACATATTTAATTTATAGACTTACATCACTGGAAGAAAGATTATGTGTGGTTGTGAATAAATACAGAAGAACAAATAGAAATTACGTTCTCCAGCAGGATTGGGCAAGATAACTGACTATATTTGAGAAAGCTGAATGTATTTCTCAATAAGACCATGACATGTTTGACTCTGATACAAGAAACCAAATTTAGTCAGTCTCAGAGAGATCCCTACAGCCTTACTCTAAATAACAACTCAAGTATTGGATGAGAGAAAAGAAAACTGTGTCCTGTAGGTAAAGGCCAGCCAGCAACATTTCACTCTGCAGATCCACACCCTGTGGTGAGTTCAGGTGAAGGAACGGTTCTGATCAGCTGAGGTGCACCAGAGAAGGGCAGAAAACTGCTGCTGCCTCAGCAAACACATCAGCTTTCTATGACTATCACTCTTTAATAACTTCCTGCAGAAAAAAGTTACCTAAACCTCATTACTGTCTTCCAGATTACAGCCATAGCTTGAAGAGTACTTCAGTGTCCATAACAAAAATCAAATTAACCTTTTTCCACAGCAGGAATACACAAGTGAAATTTTGGAGAAGAATTTTCTGAGTTCTTCAGCTGCATGTTGTGCCACCACTCAGGTTTAACTACTTTAGTCAAAAGCTCCTTTGTTTAGAGTTGGTTAGACTGATCAGATGCCCACAGAACTGAATACTGAGAATTAGCTGTGTGTAAGGAATTTTAACATATCTGAGCTCAAGGGAACCAGGCCCTTGTTAAGCCAAAGGGCTTTGGGTGCTTTCAAATGCAAGTGCAGGATTCCCTCAATCCAGAAGTACCCCAATAAAAATGCATCAGAATAACTGCCCTGCAGAAATCAGTGAAAGGCAAAACAAGGATAACAAGTGGTATTGCTGTATTGTCTCAACATTGTTTATACATTGTGCACAGTACACAAATATACCAAAATCACTCAATGCTTTTAACAATTCAGGGTCATTAATTTTCTTTTCCCTGTGAAAGTCTACATGGGAAAAAGAAATCCATATCAAAAAAACCCTAAAATATTAAAATAGCTCTACCATCTTTAACTTTTTGATTCTCTTTCCATCAGCAGAGCCCTTCCCATGAGCCTCCAAGAGCTCTCTCATGAGACCCAAACAACAAAGAGCAAAGATTCTTGGGAGAATATTTTTACGTCTAAATATTTTTACGTCTAAATATTTTTTATTATTTCAATTACTGGCATGCACATTTCTGAGATTAATGAAAGGGATAAGGAAGTTTCTCTTTTTACCAGCTTCTCTTTGCATCCTGAACTAGCTGCAGGAACTGACTAGAAGTGACAAATGTCTGCAACAGTTTGAATACGTACGAGGCAAGATTTATCAATTTTAAAATATCCAGGCTCTGGAGAGCTGTGGCATGGTGCTCTCAGAAGGTTGCTGTGTGCTTTGTGCCTGCAGCTGTGAGTAATGGCAAAACCCTGTGCCAAGCGTTTGCTCATCAGGAATTTACTGAAAAATTATGGAAAAGAGATTGGTAAAGCCTAAAACTGTCACATAAAACAGGCATAAAAAGTCACATAAAACTGAAAGGTAGACTGAAATTAAATCTTGTTGGTTTTATAATGCTAACAAGTGTTCTCCAAGAAAGAATAATTTAGAGGGACGAAAAGCACAGCAAAGCTAGGTATCATGGCAAGCAGGTTTTCTCCTGCATAACCATCTTGTGGGGAAAGACATTTTCAGCCAGTTGAGTGTTTCATTGTTTTGCTCATTCTGTTACCCTGGCATGACCATTTGCCAGATTCAGGGTGCAGGGCTTGTGTTCCTGAGATCAGAGCATTAAAGCTGCTGTGTGCCATCGTTGGCATCCCCTGATTGCCTTTCTGGGCTGGTCCAGCAAGGTCCTTTGGGATGTGGCCACTGCACATTTTGAGCTTGAGCCCAGGCTCATTCACTCCTGCACTGCCATAGTGCCCAGCACCAACCTTGGATTTGGGGTAAGGAGCTTCCCTTCTGACAAAGAGAGCACCAGGAGCAGGAGTGGATTCTGCTTTCTCTTGCTGTTGTCTTCCTTATTCCCCCAGTGAAGATTATTTTTCTCCAAGTGTGTGGGTGAATTACATGGCCACATCACCTAATGTCACATTCTTCAGCCATAATTTCAGAGAGAAATTATAGAGATGGGATATAATTTGAGATACAATGAGATATCCTTCAGGCACCAAACCTGTGCACCTCTGTAAGGAAAGAAATCTTAATTACAGGGAGATGAGCAATAAAAATAGACACATGACCACTGGCAGCCCCAGACCTATCCAAGACCCACCATCTGGTTTATTTTTTTTAAGCAGCTGGACCAGATAATTATTCATCAGCAAGTGGAGCTTCTGGAAGGTATGGTGCAATCTTTGTCACCCTTTAAGAGTGCTGGTACATGGGTGTCTCCAAAAGGCATCCGAGTCTTGCCCCCAACTCACTGAAGTCACTGTGAACCTTCCTGCTGCCCTTGTGTCAGGCTGTTATGCTGTCATAGGGTGGGGAAGGCTCACTTTATTGTTTGCCTGTTCTGCAGCAAACCACTGAGGGATGAGTTGTCTCTACAACAGTCCTAAATTCTCTCCCTCAGACACCTCCCTCTCAGTATTACTAAACCTTAACCATCTTTCCATGGAAAAATTTATCTAACAATCATTAACATACTATGAGAAACAAAGCAAATGGAGAAACGAAGGTCAGAAAACATAAGAAGCAAAAGATTTTCTAATTATAAAGTTTCTCAGCGTTTTAAAGTAATGAACAAATATTAAATACTGTAAAATTTTACTACCAGTAAAATACTATAGAATATATTTCTCCTATTCAAAATGGTTTTGGCCTGGTTGTCAAATAACCTGCTGGGTGACAGCAGGTCTCTATGGTGGGGTAGTCTCAGGATGCTACTTTTCACAGATGATAAAGCCAGAAAAAGCCCAAACCAAAAACTCAGGATCTGGATTCTCTGTTGTGATACATACTTTAGTGTACAGCAAATCGAAGTCTGAATTAATTCCTTCAACATACAGACCTGGCACTATTATTTCCTTACACTTGTATATTTTCTTTGTGTTACTACTTCAAAACAGTTTTTTAAACAATCTTTGTCATAGACTTCTAGAATAAATGCTCATATATACGTGCACTAACATTACGCTAAAATAATAACAAAGATTATATTAAGTTAGCATTCTACTTGTTTTGCTTTGTTAGCCATACTTGGCACAGAGACCTCCAGCAAATACGAGATAAAAAACCCCTTGGGACAAAGAGTTTACTTTGCAGTGGAAGAGAACGGCTGCTTTGACCGCAAGCTGTGCTCGCCCATCAGGGCGTTCACCATCAGGATCGCGGATAACGCGGGCCGCGAGGTGATCCGAGTCATCCGACCCCTGAGGTGCAACAGCTGCTGCTTCCCCTGCTTCCTGCAGCAGGTGAGGGAGCCCCAAACCCCCTTTGTCCCAGCATCTCGCTCTGCAGCTCCTCCAGGGTGGCAGGGAGGAATTCAGGAATTCACAGCCCCCCAGCCCAGGAACTGGGGGAGCCCTTTGGGTACAGACAACGAGTTCTGTTCCCGGTGTGCTTCCTCCTTTCCATGGGACCTGGCTTTGCTGACATCCCACACAAAGCTTTGGTGGCTGGTGATGTCTCTCCAATCAAGTCCAAAACATTGCTTGCAGTGACACAGGCAGAGATCGCCCACTGAACTCCAGCAGGGCGAAGGATGGAAACTCTGTGAAGGCCACTGGGGTCTATGGCTGGGACTTGGAAGCAGATCTCTGAGGAGGCTGAGCCTTCACTCCACAGATCTGCCTCTTCGGGGCCATATATCTCTGGGAAATGGCAGAACGTGGAAGTAAGCTGCTTGGAGTGAAAAATGGGGATCTCGTAGAGCATCAGATATTTCCTCCTTATTTTTTGACTCTCCTTATTCAGACATCTTTCTTGTGTTATGAAAATGTTTTACAGGTTAGGTCATCTACTTACCTTCTTAGCACTTATCCTTGTCAGGATTTTTAAAGAAAAGGCCCTTTGGTAGCACAGCTACTTAAAATAAGCTTGTAGGATACTCCCCGAGTACAATATTTTTTTCCCCCAGTTCATAGCTTTTATAAAGTCTTTTATTATATGTAAGATGCTGGTTTCTGGTTCAGCTTTTTATTTTCATATTTTCCCCTATATTTAACAACACCATTAGACAGTTCTATAATATCTAATTCCATGTTTGGTAAAATGATATGTTACTATATTCAGTGGATAAATATCTTGTCATTATATAAACAACACACTCTAATGGAAAAATATATTAATATAAAATCAGCTAAAATATTTTTTGTTGTTTTCTTTTGTTTGCTAGTTGGAAGTTCAGTCCCCACCAGGTACAGTAGCTGGGTACGTTGTACAGAATTGGGACCCTTTTCTGCCAAAGTTTACTATACAGAATGAAAGTAAAGAAGATGTGCTAAAAATAATTGGCCCATATGCAACCTGTGGCTGTTTTGAAGATGTTGACTTTGAGGTATGTTTTGTACAAGTGTTAACAATTTAAAAGTTTTACTATGAATAAATTTCTGAGGTGAGAGGGAGAATGGGAGATAGCTGAAGAAACCCTGAAGAGAGTTTTCTGATGTGAACAGTGCTTTGACTTCATTAAGAATCATAAGGGTTTATCAACTTATCAACTCATTAGCCAAATCAGAAGACTCCAGTGGGTATTGTCTGAAAGTTCAGTATGCTGTAAGAAACATGCAGATAGATGAGAACATGCCTGTCCCCTGAGGGGACAGTGGTGCACAGCAGTGGGGCTAGGAGAATATAAAAAACATGAGAGAGGAAAAAAACCCACAACTTTATAAAAGAAAGGCAAAACTGGAATCAACATTCAAGATTGCTTTCTCCCACTTTTTGTCCGCTCTAAAGATGCTGATGTTTCCAAACTTGAGACCCTTTCTTGCGTGCCACTCGTAAAGGGAAATTTGACACTAATAGAACACTGCAGCAATAAGAATAAAAGGAGAACCTGACAACTATAGCATACTCAGCATGTCAGGACACAGTCATTAATTCTGTGGAGATGTCATCAGTGTGCACTTGATTTGTTTACATTTATGTCTGTTCCTGTTTTTCCTTTGTGCAGGTAAAAGCTCTCAATGAGATGACAACGATCGGCAAAATTTCCAAGTATTGGTCTGGATTTGTCAACAACGTCTTCACCAACACCGCCAACTTTGGGATCCAGGTCCCTGTAGATCTCGACGTGAGGATCAAGGCAGTCATGATTGGTGCTTGTTTCCTCATTGTAAGTCTGCAAGGTGGACCGGCAGACCTATGGGGATGTGCAGACCAGGGCCAAAGGGGCCCTTGCTGTCAGCTGAGAGCTGCAGAAGTGCAAACCCAATATCTAAAAGATAAATTAGCTAAAACATTTTAATTTTTATATCTGCTCTTTTTTTAATGTTCCTAAATTTTTGTTTATTAAACTGTTTGAATAGCATTACACATGCAGTTCAATGTTTTGTAGGGCAGAATCAAATCTCAACATACATGTCAAACCTGCCAAACTCCTCCACACCCTTTATTGTTTGACCAAGTGTATGGATCAAAAAAAACCCAAAAAAGTTATGTTGTTTCTAATGGTAATTTCAAACCAATTCAACAATTCCATTGAGTGTTGTATGTAAGACCTTCAGGTCATATGAAAATTCCTACAAAAATTCTCCCATGAAGATAACCATAAGAACTATATGAGAAGGAGAATACTCAGTAGTAGGGGTAAAGAGAAGTGAAGATGCATGTTTCTAGAATTAGAAATTGATATTTGCTGTGTAACTCTTTTGCCAACGTAATTGTGTGAACATGAAATGGTTTCAAAATCATCTGTGATACTTACATCAGAGACTATAAACCAAAATTATAATACAATTTAAATTATTCACTGAAAAGTGTTTGCTTTAAAATTCCAACAACAATTTAGAAATTTTGCTTTTAGCAGGATAGAAATGATAGTTAAAATTTTTGGATTGTCCCCTCCAAAACCCCTGTTTCTCAGTGGCAGTGTTAAAAAGTGATTGGCTAATATAAATACTTTATGTGACAAAAGCCTACAAGTAAGGCTTTTGATAGTAATTTTTGCATTTTTGTGCCTTTCATATCTAATTCACAGTTTGTTTATTTGTAGGACTTAATGTTCTTTGAAAATTCTTTGGATGGATTATAACAAGATGACAGAAACAATGAAATATGCAGAATGTGTTTCGGTAGGTAAAAATGAACATAAATTGATCTCCTTGCTTTGAAGGCTTATACATTTCTAATTCTTTTTCATTTTCTTCCAGAAATCGCTTGAGCTTTGGACATTATTTTGAACTGTAAAAATCTGTGTTCCTTATATGAAAAGACAGGGAGCTAATTATGATGTTTATTAAAATATGTCTCATGTAAATAATTTCTCACTTATATTTTATATGTGCTGTAGCTAAACACATACTTTTCACACAGAGCACTGTTGCTTTGGAACAGTGCTATTCTCTTCTTTCTCTTTTGATGTTCCTGCATGGGAAATCATGAAAGATTAGATGAAGGCTTACAGCATCACTGATGAAAGTCTATGTTTAGAGAAGCCTTTGATGTTTTGCAAGTGCTGGTACCAGTTACTAACCACATGAGGGTGTGTTCTGGGGGTTTTGCTTTTTTATAATTTTAGAAGTAATTTTCTGATTTGCTATTTAATTAATAGTAGCAAACTGATTTGAAAGTAACAAATATAAAGACATACCCAATGGGAAGTTCAAGATGTTATCTGTTTCAGTGAGTTGGAAGAATGGAAGTTTTGTTTGATAGTAAATTAATGTTGTGACAAAGATTGTTTTAATGAGTGGCAGCCAGAAATTAGGCTTTCAGCCCTAGACTTGGGAATGTAAGTTCTATTCTGAAAATCTGGTCTTCCACTATTTGCACTGAAGGCAGGCCATAAATAAAGTTTGAACGACGGTCTTTTGTGTGCTAGAGGCTCCCAAATCACTTCCCTTTGTACTTGCCAGTGCTGAGGATCCTTGCTGCCATCTACTCAAGGCTTTCCAGAAAAGATTTGTTCCTCTTTGTAATATCTGGTGGCTGATAATTTTTCATTCAGACTTGCCTGAGGCTATCCTAGAATAGAGTTATTCTTTTCCTTTGGCAAGCTCAGGTATTTTCTATGATGACTGTGCAGAAGGAGCATTTTTCAGTTCAGCATTTTCACATGGTTGCTCATTCCTGCAGCCACACCTCATCATACTGTTCCCAAACATTTTCACCAACTTTTGCTAATACAAACTTCCTTTGTAGGAATGATATATATGCAAGACAGAAACAGAATTTTTTGTTGCAAATTATTTGCTGAATGAGATTGCTTATGCCTCTGAAAAATTCCCTTCAAGTGGCAAACCAGTACCATAAAATATTGGTGGCAAACCCAATTCCACTCGTAGTCATCAGTCAAGTTTCTAAGGGGAATATTTTACAAATCATTAGAAATGCTGGATTTTTTTTTTTTTTTTTTTTTTTTTTTTTTTTTTTTTTTTTTTTTTTTTTTTTTTTTTTTTTTCCAACCAGTAATTCAATTCTTGAAAACAACCAACACATCAACGGAAAGAGAGGAGATAATGAATAATTCATAAAAATGAAAAAGAGCTAAATTTATCAGGTGATTACTTCTCAACAAATATTTAGACTAATTTTAAATTAATGTTCATGGATATGAATTCAAACACAGTGAAGTCAGGAAGTTGCAACTAACGTTCCCATAGTGAAATTAACTCAGGAATGCTTATAGATTTAAACAGTATGTTTTAGATTATATACCACACTTAGGTATTTATACAGATTTACATATGTCTTGGAAATAATTGTGGTTAACAAGCTCTGACAATCATCATTATTGTTAACCATTTCACTTCTGGCTCTCGCTGTGACTCGAAGCGGTGCAATCAGGCTCAGGAGCTGGGGGCTCGCAGGGAGCCGCGGCTGCCGCCTCTCCCAGGAGGAAGCGCCCTGCGAGCTTCGTGGGCAAGACGCTCCCTCGTGTGGAAGTCCCGGAATTTGCAGAGGAACACAGAATTTGCAGATGAATACGGGATGCTTTTTGCTCTTCTCGCTAATCTCACACTGGTGTCGTTCTGTCAAATGCGGCTCCCACGTGCCTGACTGTAGGCTTAGGAAAAGAACCAGATTATTTTTTTTTTTTTTCTCTTTAAATCCCTTTGCCATCTTAGACAAAGTCACTGCTCTTGTAGCCCATAATCTTGGCTCTCGTGCACTGTTACTGAGCTGTGTGTGTCTGAACATTTGACTGTATTCAGTGCCTTAAGATCAGCAAGATCCCCAGCTATATTCCACTTTTCCCACTGCAATTTCCAGTGTTCTCTTGGCCCCTAACAAGCCAAAGATGTCTCTAAGCAAATATGTCCAGCCTTATTGAACTCAACACAAAATAAGGTTTTATTTACCCTCAGGGCTGAGTTTGGCTGTGAGTGTCCATATATATACCTTGTAGGTAAGCAATATGTGCATATAATTTTCAGTTAATTTCAGCCAGATGATAACATTGGATTTCTTGCACTTTAGTGACTTTGTTGCTGTTTTTTGTTTTAATACAGAGGTTTTTTGCTGTTAATATGTATGTATATGAGTATGTTGAATGCCTCTGTTTACACTCAGAGGCAGCTTCTGGGACATACAAGAGCAGGTTCATCCCCTGGATAAAAGAAGCAGTGGGGCTGGGATAGCTCTTGTTGCTTACAACTCCCTCAGCAGCCTGCTTGCCCTCCGTGCCACCCTTCAGCATCCTGGTGGAAATGCAGTGCCAATGCCAGTGCTTTTCCAGATGGGAGGTCACTCAGCTAAACCACAGCTGCCACACAGGGCAGATATCCATCCTCAGCAGAGTTTATGGATTTTGCATGATATTGCTAAAGAAGAGCTAATGTGTTCTAAGATCTTTATACCCTGCAGCTCTAACTAATTGCTCTTTCTTATTAATGGCAGTGTGTTTCATGTTATGGGAGCTACATTTCACAGTTCCCCCATGGACTAGGAGTGGCTCCCAAAGGAGAATTCAGAATCTCCCAAAGGGTCACAAGGTTTTTCTAAAGGAAATTTATGTCCCGGATATCATCTAGAAAGAAACGAGATTGCTCTAAAGAAACAGAAGTTTTTGTTAATCCAGCCAAGAAAATATTTCTGATCAGTAGCCAAACTGTAAGTCTGTGTAGCTCACACTCCTTGTGTTCAGTAGATGGCAGCAACAGTTCATTATGACAGTATTTAGCCTTTCACACAGCATAAGCTGTACCCAGGACGCTGATGGAAGTTCAGCATACCTTTAACCTCTAATTAAGTTCTACCGTTAACCGAAGGATTTTATTTTCTCTGTCTGATATTAAACCTTTGCCGCACAATAGTGGATTATCTTTATTGCCTGCGATTTACAGCTGGACTATTGGTTATTTAATGAGATCTGGTCAGGGCACGGGCAGAATACAGTCCACCACAAAGTGAGCACCTCTGGTCAGTACCCAACCTAGTTTTTTTGCATCTGGAGCATCTCTTCAGCTTCTGCAGCTGGACAGAGGACACTCCCCACCTTCTGCAGAAACAGAAGGTGCCATGTGTAAAGGAGAATGCTGTGTGGTGCTGTACCTAAAAAGGAGAAGGTTTCTATGGTAAAAGGTCATGTCATGAGGGGGGAAATCCCCTGTAGTGCCACAGAGGGGGGAAATCCCCTGTAGTGCCACAAACCCAGGTGGCACCAGCACATGGCGAGGAGCTGTTTTACCCGTGGGAAGATCAGACATCTCCTGTATGAGAGTGAAGACACCGAGTTGCTGTAAATTCTGAGATTCTTTGGTTGTCTGATAATTTGGTGGATGCAAAAGTACTTCTCTTCATAGACTTTGCTGTCTGCATTAAAAAAAGAAATTATTTTTGTCTCAATTTGTTGATTTGGTTATTGGATTAGATAAACCTGGAAATGGTCCAAAATGCACCTTTTCTAATAGAGTTGTCTAAGTGAAGCTGTTTGGAAAAAAAACAAAAACCTGAGGGTCCTCCTTCACCCTCAGTTGTGTTGGTTTCTTTTCAATTAGAATGGTATGTTCTACGTTAGAATCAAAAATCCTAGTTTAATCCAACTCAAGTTGAGTATTGAAGGAAAAGTTACCTGCAAGTCATCTCATCTGGACTCATTAACTTGTTGTGCTTTTCCACTTTAAGATACTCACTTGAAGGACTTGTTTTTCTCGTTTTCAGTCACATTAGGTAAGTGCTCTATTTACACTTCTGATGTTTTGTATTAGAAAAACCGATACACAGCAACGACCAAACCGTGAAACATCCCGCAAGCTTTTGTTACAGACATTGCTCTGTGAGAAATACTTGTTTCTATCTAGAAATGACCATGGACATTTTCTCTTTCTGCTCCCTCCCTTATCCCCCCCAGATCATAGAATCACAGAATGGTTTGGATTGGAAGAAACCTTAAAGACCACTTAGTTCCACCTCCCTGCCATGGGAGGTTTCACTACACCACGTTGCCCAAGGCTCTAAAGGAAATATCACAGTGCATGTGTCAAGGTCCAGTATTGCGTCAAAAGTATTTTCTTAGTCATTTATGGATTGCTTGGAGAATCTTGGGTGAATTTTGGACAAGGCTAATGATTGTATTAGTTTTCTATCTATATGTCTTTTCTAGACCTTTGAAAAACTATTTGGCCATCAGGAATCATTTTAAGCAGCTGTCATGATAATGCCCATTTTTAGCAACAAGAATTGAGAAAATAAATGCAGCCTTGGATCAGAACAAGGATTTCTAGTAGAAATACCTTGTATGTTTCATAGTTTCCTAGAATTCAAGAGAAAATTTTGAGCATTTTTTCTTAATATTTCTTCTGGGCTCCCTGAAGAACCCAAAGCGTCAAAATACAGTTTTATTTTAAAAAAATTAAAATCCTATTTACTTTGCAAATCTGGGGGAGATATTTTGGCTATTATGTATAGGATAGTGTGCTGAGTAAATAAGATAAGAGTAAGAAAATATTTTAGAAATAATTTGTTAATAATTAATAATCCTGAGTACTTTCTGTTATAAGTTGAGAGAGTTGGGGTTGTTCAATCTGCAGAAGAGAAGGGCCCAGTGAGACCTTATAGCACCTTTTAGTACCTAAAATTGCTATGTGAAAGTTGAAGAGACACTTTTGACAAGAGCATGTAGTGACAAGACAAGGAGGGATGGTTTTAAATGGAAAAAGAGTAGGTTTACCTTAGACACAAGGAAGAAATTCTTTATTGTGAGGGTGGTAAAGTCCTGTCCCAGGTGGCCCAGAGAAGCTGTGGCTGCCCCATCTGTGGAAGTGTCCGAGGCCAAGCTGGATGGGGCTCTGAGCAGCCTGGGATAGTGGAAGGTGTCCC